TGCTCAACTAAATAAATGATAATTAWTAATTATCATTTATTTAGTTGAGCACTGTTAGGCCGCCCGACTGGCGGCGGCTATTAGGGTCTGGACCTCTTCGAGCAAACTGCCGGGGGCCCCTCTTTAAGTTTTCAAAACGAACGTACAATCTGTACTGAGCAGTTATCTGAGGGCGTCTCAGAGTGCGGCGCTAATAGGAGTCAAAAGATAGAATATAAAATACAGCACCGTGAAAATCTGGCCCGTAAGAACGTAAGGGGGCTCTACTGGACAGGCCCCGATCCAGGTCAAAGCCAAAACACACACTACAAAACCTCAAAACAGGCCCTTACTTACCGGATAGAATATTCTTCCTTTCTTTTTTGCAAGTCCAGTAAAAGGTATTAGGTACAAGATTAAGACGGATAGAAGAAGGGCAACTACCCCGCCAAGCTTATTGGGGATAGAGCGCAGGATAGCGTAGGCAAATAGGAAGTACCACTCCGGCTGGATGTGGTGAGGAGTAACCGACGGGTTAGCGAGGCTAAAATTTTCATCGTCTCCTAACACTAGGGGTCAGTACATACAAACTAAAACGAAGCCCCCCGACGCCAAGGCTACCCCCAATCCATCCTTCAGAGAAAAATAGGAATGGAATCTGACCTTATCTACTTCCCTATGAATCCCCAGCGGATTGCCCGAACCAGTCATATGAAGCATAGTAATGTGAACAACCACTAAAGCTAGAATAATAAAAGGAACTAAAAAATGGAACGCAAAAAACCGATAAATAGTGGGGCCCTCTACTGTGACTCCCCCTCAGATATACTGGACAACATTAGGCCCAACATAAGGGATTTCCCTGAATAAGTTAGTGATTACAGAGGCCCCTCAAAATGATATTTGATTTACAGGTAGAACGTAGCCCATAAAGGCAGCCGCTATTGTTAGTAACAGAATAGTGACTCCGACATTTCAGGTGTGTACATACAAGTATGACCCGTAATAAATGCCTCGCCCTACGTGAAAATATAAGCAAAGGAAAAACAAAGAGGCCCCATTAGCGTGAATGTACCGAATCAGCCAGCCTTTATCCCTAACCTCTATTGCTTTGAAGACCTGCTCGAAGCTAAGCTCTATGCCTGCAGAGTAAGCAGAAGCTAAAAATAGGCCCGAAATAATCTGAACGATTAGGCACCCTGAGAGTAAAGAACCAAAGTTTCAAAAAGCACTGATATTGGGGGGCGCAGGGAGCTCGATCAAAGTCGAGTTAAACACCTTGAATAGGGGGTTCCTTTTATAAAACTGAGTTGACATTACTTTTTCGCCCGCAGTGGGAGCTCCCTAGATGTAGCCAGCTTCACGACGACTACCAGCCTGATAAATAAATAGACGATTAGAAGCGAGGTAAACAGATAGACGCCGAACGAGTAAGCCTTATACACGATAAAGTGAGGACTCAAGTCGGTGGGCCTAAGCTCGTTTAAAAACACTCACTCCACTTTATCGTTAAAAATAGAAGCAGCGCTCATCAAAATTAATACAAAAAGCCCGTAATTGAAAGGGTACGCATACAGTTCGTTGTGGGCCAAGGACGCCACGTACACAAAAATCACCATTATGCCTCTTAGAAACAGTAGCACTAATAAAAGAGAAAATCAAGCCGTAGGACAGATCAAATAAATGCTCAATCTAGCTAAAAAAGAAAACAGGACCACTACAGCCCCCAGCCTCAGGGGTGCAGTCAACTGTAAGAATAAAAATACTAGCCCCATACACAAGCTTATCCATAAGGCCAAAATTACTTTTAGAAGAATCGACTGTAGTTTACAAGACTACCGTTTTAGCTAAACTATAAAAGCTAAAACGAGGCTTAGCCTTTTTTCAGGTCGAAACTGAATGTAATTTACTTTCGTCTTTAAGTTGGACTAAAGTCAATTAAATCATTAACAATGATTAGCCTCTTTTTGGCCTCAACTAACAAGACAAACAACTGTTCCTTTTAGGTGCAAACTAACCGCTCTTCATAAACTATTGTCTTTATCTTGGTGTAACGCACGTAAAATTTTGGGTTTTAAGGAAGCTATAGATAAATAAAGGCAATGAGCATAAGCACGGTATCAGAGTGCCCCTTTTTCAGGCACTTTATTTGTGTTTTTTATAAATACAAAATAACTCAGCTACTCAAATGCTACAAAGAGTAGTTTTATATAAAATAGTAGACTTGGGATTTACAGAAAGCAATGTTCTCTTTGAAATGCTACATCACTTCATTATTATACTGGCGCTCATTGTAACTTTAAGTGCTTGTGCTTTTGTTTCGAACTACAGCCATTTGTTAAATAGCTTATTAACGCTAGAGCTACTTTCTGTTACGCTGTATTTATCTATTGCAGCAATTTTTAGGTCTGTAGGAAGGGAGCTTTTTTATCTTCTATTTTTTCTAGTGCTAGTAGTGTGCGAGGGGGTACTAGGCATCTCTCTTCTAATTTCCCTCGCACATAGCCATGGAGAAGACTACTTTAAGTCGATAAACGCCATACAATGTTAAAGGTAGCTCTCTCCCTATCTGCGTGCTTAATAGTCCTTAGCTGAGGAGAAGTCGTAGCTTGTCTAGCTCTGATTAGACTCCTATTTTTACTAAGTAAACCTGCGGGGTTAGAAACGACTTGTTTCAGCTTCGAGCTAGATTATTTTAGGTGAGCTTTGATCGCCCTGACCCTATGAGTGACAACAGCCTCTATACTAAGAAGTACTAAAGTAAAAAATAGAAGAAAATCAAGCGCACTCTATCTTTTAGTGCTAGTTAGTATGTGCGTTTCCTTGTGTTTGACTTTTTCAGTATCTAGAAGGGTCGTTTTTTACATTTTGTTCGAAACTTGCCTGATTCCTATCCTGGTTATTATTTTGGGCTGAGGGTACCAACCCGAGCGCGCTCAAGCAGGCCTTTATTTGCTGTTCTACACGATATTTGGATCCCTACCTCTATTGATCATCGTATTGCACTGCAGAAACCTGATAGGCTCTAGCTATTTATTCAGCACAGGAGCCTCAATAACAGGCCTACTTAGAGCCTTGTGCCTTTCTTTGGCTTTTTTGATCAAATTCCCCATGTATGGGGCTCATCTCTGATTACTGAAGGCCCATGTCGAGGCCCCCGTGGCAGGATCTATACTACTGGCGGGAGTCTTACTTAAATTGGGGGGATTTGGCCTAATTCGCATATTTTATTTTTTAGATTACAATTTTTTAATTATAAAAGAATTAGCGGCCTCTGTCAGATTATGGGGCGGGCTGTTAATAAGCTTAAATTGTCTGCGACACATAGACATAAAAGTTTTAATTGCCTCTTCTTCAGTGGTCCATATAAGAGCTTGCGTAATCGCTCTATTTATCCTAAGAGACTGAAGAGTAAAAGGTTGTTTATTGATAATATTGGCCCACGGTGTCTGTTCTTCTGGCTTATTTTCTCTGGCGAACATAGTCTACGAGCGAACGAACAGACGAAGTATGGTAGTCGCTAAGGGGCTACTGAACATCACCCCAACTTTAGCGCTATGTTGGTTTTTAATGCTCACTGCAAACATAGCTGCGCCTCCCACTATTAACTTGAGGAGAGAAATTATATTGCTCATTAGTCTTGTTTCTTGAGACCTTATTACAATCGGACCTCTTATTCTGCTAGGATTTTTTAGGGCGACTTATAGTCTGTACTTATTTTCTATGTCTCAGCACGGAGTCTTCAATAAAACCAAAAGAGCGCTCAACAACAGAAGCCTCTTAGAACTGTTAATTGTATTTGTACACTGGATCCCCCTCAATGCTCTGATCCTAGCAGTAATATTTATATTTTGTCTTAATAGTTTAAAAAAGCGCTATTTTGTGGAAATAGAGATACGGCCCGTTTAAGGCATTGAGACTTAAAACCAATAGTTTTATATTTTTCAGTACATTGAACGCAGTATTAGCAGCACTGGGCCTTTCTGCGGCTTCTTGGTTCGCTTACAAAGGGTTCACATTAATTGTAGACTGAGAAATCGTAAGAATAAACAGAATTTACGCTAGTATGACTATTATCCTAGACTGAATAAGCCTCTCCTTCCTATCGGCCGTTGTGCTTATTACAAGAGCTATCTCTGCTTATTCTTTGTATTATATAAAAGAAGACCCCAATAAATCTCGATTCATCATATTACTGATACTGTTTGTAGCTTCCATACTTTGCTTAATCATCAGACCTAACTTAGTCAGCTTGCTACTCGGATGAGACGGGCTAGGCCTCACATCCTATGCTTTAGTAATTTACTACCAAAACGAAAGTGCCTGTAATGCGGGGATACTAACAGTTCTGAGCAACCGAATCGGTGATGTGTGCATTCTACTTGCAATTGCACTTTTCAGTTACGCAGGGTCATGACTGTTCTTCTCGATAGATGCTGTGAGTCTCCCTTTTATCGGCTTTTTTGTAGGCCTGGCGGGCATGACTAAAAGAGCACAGGTACCCTTTTCGGCTTGATTGCCCGCTGCTATAGCTGCGCCCACTCCAGTGTCTGCGCTAGTTCACTCTTCAACTCTAGTAACCGCAGGTGTTTACCTGCTGATTCGGTTCCACCATCTTTTAAAGGATACTTTGATTTTACAGTTATTGCTCGTGGCAGCTCTTTTAACGACGGTCATAGCAGGCTGGGGGGCTAATTTCGAGGTAGACTTAAAAAAAATCGTGGCCTTATCTACCTTGAGTCAACTAGGGCTGATAATAATAACCCTAAGAGTTGGCATAAAGACCATTGCCTTTTTTCATATAATCTCACACGCTATATTTAAATCTACCCTATTCATAGCAGCGGGTGTCATAATCCATATGTCTAACGGCACTCAAGACTCGCGATTTATGAGATCCTTGCACCACAGCTCGCCTCTTCTAATAGGGGCGTTTTCTGTTATAAATATGTCTTTACTGGGATTTCCTTTTTTATCTGGGTTTTATTCTAAGGATTTAGCCATAGAATTAACTTTCTATGCTCTACCTAATATCTGACTCCTAGCCCTAGTCCTAGTAGCTGCAGGTTTGACTGTTGCCTACAGATTACGAGCAATGCTTTTGGCTATGACTAGTGTTTCTAACACCCAAAGAACTGCTTCTCTTCACGACAGGGACAATGTAGTTATAGTTAGAACTTCTGCTGTTCTTCTTATAGGACTAACATCAGGGTATTTTTTTTACTGGGTCTTTTTATGGTCCCCCCACGCAGTAATCCTACCCTCTTTAATAAAGTACAGAGTTCTAGTAGCAATGTTAATAAGAGGAGTGTTGGCCCCTTTAATACTGAAACCACACAAAGTACTTGGCCTCACTTTAGTTAAAAGCCTGATTATAATGAGAGGCTCTAGAAAAATATGATTTTTACCTTTTTTATCTACCAAGTACACCACTCTTGCAACAATAAAAGTAAGAGCAGCCTCTTCAGAGCTTTTAGACAAAGGCTGGCTAGAAATATACCCGCCACAAAAAGGAAGAAGAGTATTTGCTGAGCTCAGCCAATGAACTAAAAAAAGGCAGGCCACGCTCTTAGTTAGAGCTTACTTAATAACTTCTTTAATGGCTCTAACCTTTATTCTGTTGATTTATTTACATAGCTCAGCTAGAGCCCTATAGTGAAGCCATAGAGGAGATTAATTCTGTAAATAATATAAATTTTATGTATATTTTTAAATCCATCGTTATCTTAATTCTGAAAAAATTATGTGTTGATTACACCATAAAAACAAAAACGAAGTGCACTCACTTTTTAAAGATTAGAAGTCTTATTTCCGTTTTAGTAAATTCAATTAAGCGCCCCCTGGTTTCATTCGTGTAACAGTCCTAACACAAGCACTATAATTAAAATAAGCCCAGAAAGAGCAACAAACAGCGGATCTGCGCTGGTCTTTAATAGACCAAGAGGAAGTAAAAGCGCTACTTCAACGTCAAACACTAAAAAAATTACTGTTACTAAGAAAAATCGAATAGAGAAAGGTACACGAGACCTTTTGAATGGGTCGAATCCGCACTCAAACGGGCTCGTCTTCTCTCGCCCCTTATCACTTTTGACTCCCACGCCCAAAGCCAAGCAAAGAACCAATCTAGACACAAAAAAATATAATAAGGCCAAATTTAAAATATTCGTCATTAATAGCCTCATCAATAAATAGACACGTATAAGAAAAGTCAAACTACGTCCACAAAATGTCAGTACCAAATAGCTGCTTCTACTCCGTTGTGGTGCGCGCTAGAAAAGTGGCCTTGTACGAGTCGCCACAGATTAACGCATAAAAAAGTAGACCCAATAATTACATGAAGGCCGTGAAATCCTGTTGCTACAAAAAATGTAGCCCCGTATACTGAATCGCCAATAGAAAAGGCAGACTCTGAGTATTCAAATGCCTGTAAAAAAGTAAAATACCCCCCTAATAAAACAGTAGCCAATAAGCCTTGCACTGACTGAGAGTGCTCATTTTCCAAAATAGCGTGATGAGCCCAAGTCACAGTAACCCCCGACGCCAATAAAATAGCAGTATTAAGCAAAGGAATCTGGAACGGGTTAAACCCATTAATGCTAGCAGGAGGTCATTGAGCTCCGATCTCTGAAGTCGGGCTTAGACTTCTGTGGAAATAGGCTCAAAAAAAAGAGAAAAAAAATAATAGCTCAGAAACAATAAATAAAACTATTCCTCAACGTATCCCCTGAGCCACCTTAAGAGTATGCAGCCCCTGAAAGGCTGCCTCTCGCACTGTATCTCGTCATCATTGGGCCGACACTAATAGAATACTTACCACACCAAATAGAAAGAGTCTCACTTTAAAATCATGAAACCATTTTACCAGCCCAGCTACCATTATCAGTGCCCTAACCGATGCAATTAAAGGTCAAGGGCTTTTTTCAACTAAGTGATAAGGATGATTAGAGTGTAATGACATTGATAATTAATCTGAAAATTCTGCCATATACAAAGTCAACAAGACTCTAAACACATAACTCTGAATAAAAGCCACCGCACATTCTAGTCTGATCAGAGCTAACTCTGCGATAGCAAGAATAGGCACAGCTATTAGAGGGCTAAACCTAAAAGATCTCCTTAACAAAGACAACAATAAATGTCCTGCAATTATGTTAGCTCTTAGCCGCACTGCTAACGTGCCAGGACGGATAATATTTCTGATTCTCTCAATAACAACTATAAATGGCATAAGAGCTGCAGGAGTGCCCTGTGGAATCAGGTGAACTAACAAAGCTTGAGTGTTAAATCTTCAACCATACAGTATTAATCCTGATCAGGCAGCCAAACCGAAACACAGACTAAATCTTAAATGAGCAGTAGCAGTAAAAATATACGGCAACAGCCCTGCTACATTATTAAATATAATTAATAATAAAAGGCTTACTCTAATTAAAAGAACAAATCTCGCTTTTTTAACAATAGGGCGAAACTCTCTAAATAAGTAATCTCTTAACTGTTTGAACAGACCCCTGTAACGGGTACTCGCGACTCATTGGGCTCCAGGTATCAGTAGAACGAATAATAAGCTAGAGCATCAATTTGCGCTTAGCCTATTGGGCCTGGCTGGGTCAAAAATAGAAAACAGATTAGTTATCATTTTCAGCTTATTCTACAAGACTCTCTTATTGACTCAGCCGCTTGTGTCTCTGATAAAGAACTAAAAAAGACAGATGTCATCATTACTTTTAGCAATAGAATGAAATAAAAAAATAGCAGGCATCACAGTATTGGGGCTATCTGAGGCACTAAGAAACACTTAGAGTAACTTTAGTCTGACAAACTAATATAATTTTTACTAGAATCTTACGCCTAGAGCTAAGCTATAACAAGTTTAAAAGACTTACGCCATATGTTCGGCCACTAGGCGCTACCTCCTTTTTAACGCTCATTTAATAAAATAGGCCATAGGAACAGCTTCTAACTTAATAGGCATAAAGCTATGATTGGCCCCACAAATTTCAGAACATTGCCCATAAAACACTCCCCTTCGATTTACATACAGTATTACTTGATTCAATCGTCCGGGGACTGCATCAGCTTTGACCCCCAAAGAAGGAACAGCTCAAGAATGGATTACGTCCCTTCCTGTAATAAGAACCCGAATCTGGCTAAAGCTAGGGACAATTAAAGAGTTATCTGTCTCCAAAAGCCGAGCGATGCTCAATCTATCACTTTCTGGGAGTATATACGAATCAAACTCAATGCCAGGAAAATCAGAATACTCGTATGACCAGTATCACTGATGCCCTACAGCTTTAATTGTAAGGCTTGGGGTAAACGGGTCGTCTAATAAATATAGCGCCTTCAAAGAAGGAAGTGCAATCCTCAACAAAATAAACACAGGAATAACCGTCCAAACAATTTCAACTACCTGCTCTTGCAGAAGTAGCCGGTTAGTTAAGAGGCAAGAGCAAATAAGGAATATATTTAATCCCACTGTCACTGTAATTAATGTAATAACTACTATTGTGAAATCATGAAAGAAAGTCAGCTGCTCTATTCTCGGAGAAGCCCTATTTTGAAGCCCGAATGAAGATCATGTAGGTACTATCAAAAGAGTTTCCTCATAGACAGGCTTTAACTCTGTCACATTATTCTGTCATTTTGAAAATTATTTAGAATAGGTATGTCCCTGTAGCTATGATCGGCAGGAGGATAAGGGTGGCCTCACTCCAGAGAGCCTCTGAAACTGGCCCTAAATATACTGTGTCGTTTTATCACGAATCTCTCTAAAATCATAATAATGAATAAAACTACTGCAACAACAGATAAATACGACCCCAAAGAGGATACCATATTTCAGCTAGAATAAGAGTCCGGATAATCAGAATACCGACGAGGTATGCCGTTTAACCCTAAGAAATGCTGAGGGAAAAAAGTCAAATTAACTCCTAAGAATATTACATAGAAATGTACTTTCCCTAACTGAGAATTTAAAGTAAGACCTGTAAACAAAGGGTACCAATGCACAAACCCAGCGAAAATCCCGAATACTGCTCCTATAGATAGCACGTAATGAAAATGTGCCACTACATAATAAGTATCATGAAGCACCACGTCGATCGAAGAATTCGCCAATATGACTCCAGTGAGACCGCCAACTGTAAATAGAAAAATAAACCCTAAGGCCCAAACTATAGACAAAGAGAACTTTAGAGACCCTCCTTGCAAAGTTCCAAGTCATCTAAATACTTTAATTCCAGTCGGCACTGCAATAATCATTGTAGCTGAAGTAAAGTACGCCCGAGTGTCTACGTCCATTCCGACAGTAAACATGTGATGGGCTCACACAATGAACCCCAGTACTCCAATAGCTAATATAGCATAGATTATCCCTAGTGCTCCAAAGGTCTCCTTTTTACCAGACTCCTCTCTCACAATATGAGAGATTAGCCCAAATCCAGGTAAAATCAAAATATAGACCTCCGGATGCCCGAAGAATCAAAATAAATGCTGGTATAAAATAGGGTCTCCTCCTCCCCTCGGGTCAAAAAAAGAAGTGTTAAGATTACGATCAGTTAATAATATCGTAATAGCCCCGGCCAAGACAGGCAAGGACAGTAACAAAAGAATCGCAGTGATAAGCACAGATCAAACAAATAGCGGCACTCGCTCCATTCTTATCCCTGGAGTCCGCATATTTAGTACTGTAGAGATAAAATTAATTGCCCCTAAGATAGAAGAGGCCCCAGCTAAATGCAAAGAAAAAATAGCCATATCCACGGACCTACCCCTATGGGCAGTGTTACCTGCCAATGGAGGGTAGACAGTTCATCCAGTCCCCACTCCACTTTCTACTAAACCTCTCATTAGCAATAAAATTAAAGAAGGAGGCAACAATCAAAATCTCATATTATTCATTCGAGGAAAAGCTATATCTGGGCTTCCTAACATAATAGGCACTAGTCAGTTCCCAAACCCTCCGATTATAATGGGTATAACTATAAAAAAAATTATAACAAAGGCATGAGCGGTTACTACTACATTATAAATCTGATCATCCCCGATTAAATTACCCGGTCTTCTGAGCTCTGATCGAATAATAGCACTAAGAGAAGTCCCGATCGCCCTAGCTCAAGCCCCTAAAATAAAATACAGCGTTCCAATATCCTTGTGGTTTGTAGAAAATAGTCAACGAGTAATAATTCAGACCTAAGACTGCTTTTTTTTAGCTTGGAAGGCTTATAGTTTGTATAACTTAAGATCTGTTAGACTTAATCACACATTTTTCAAGCTTTGAAGGCTTACAGTTTAAATAACTTAAAGTCTAATAAAGCAAAAAATAACACCCTTGGTATTAGTACTCCTGCAGCGTTAAATCAAACCCCCTTAGGCGAGCCTCAACTTGAGCTAACTAACCTACTTGAACCCCTCCTAAGAAGTAGCCCGCTTAGCACTATTCGCATATAGAAAAACAGACTTAAGAAAGTCCCACTCAGCAAAACCACAAAGATAAAGTAAGTCTCACACTGTAATAGGCCTACTCTCACTAAGAACTTAGGTACGAACCCCCTAAAAGGAGGGAGCCCGCCCAAAGACAGCAGTCTCACTCTCATTAATCCTCGAATCTTTTTATCCCCTAGTATTAAATGGTTAAGTGAAAAAGCCTCCTCTTTATTGAATAGATACACTGCTCTAAATAACACAAGACTATAGATAAAATAGTACCCGGCCCAGGTCAAACTAGAAACCAACAACCTTCTAATCGCCCAACCTAAATGAGAAATAGAGGAGTAGGCCATAATTTTGCGAAGCGATGGAGTTATTAACCCTCCGATTCTTCCTGCTAGAGTTCTACAAATAATCACTACATAGACTAATACATAGTAGTCGCCATCTTTTAATAAAAAAGAGAGTGCAACTAAAGGGCTAATTTTTTGCACCACAAAAAGAACTATCAAGCAGCCTCAAGATCCCCCTTCCACTAAAGAGGGGAGTCACTGATGGAACGGAGCACTCCCTATCTTCAACAGAACTCCTCTTGCCAACAAACACTCTATTGACACTCAACTGCACCTTTTCAATAATAGCCCCCTTATAATTATTACAGACGCAAAGGCCTGCACTAAAAAATATTTGACTCCCGCTTCGCCGCTGTACTTATTACCCTTTACTAAAATAAGTGGAATGAACGCCATCACATTTATCTCTAGCCCTACTCAAATCATAAATCAAGACTCAGCACATACCACTAAAAGCACCCTAAAAATAAGAAATCCATAGAATAAAATTAAAGAAGGGTGGATTATCATTTACTGTCAAAAGAGAATTATACTCATAAGCGAGGTATGAGCCCGCCAGCTTATTTAGCTTATCTTTTTTTTTTTTTTTTTTTTTTTAAAAAAAATATATTTTTGTATACTAAWAATTAATTYTTKTACGCTAGTATTTAAGTGGTTGAACTATTAATAAATTCACAACTTTATTGTCGAATAAATGTTTTTAGAGAAATTAGGTAACTATCTCAAGCGGTTATTCTTCTGTAAAAACTATATATAATTTAATAAACAACTTAGTTCTATAAATATAATCATTATTTGCTATAGGCACTTATTTAGTGCCGAAGGCACTAAATAAGTGCCTATAATAATAATTTTATAAATTGTAATTATTTATAAAAGATCAAGCAAGGTAAATTTTTTCTTTTAAGGTAAAATTTTCCTCGCTAAACGCGAAAATTTTACCTTAAATAAAAAGAAAAAATTTACTATTAAGGATTATGAATTTTTAGATAATTTTCTTATATTAAAGAGAAAAAAATAAAGAAATAACAATTAAATATTATATTAATGTAGAGGACAAGATTTTGCCGGTCAAAATAGAAAAAAAAAAAAAAAACCAGTAGTTTGCGGAGTATTTTTTTTTAAAAAAAATCAAATAATTTTTTTTTTTTTAAGAAAAAAAAAAGACAGCTCGTTCAAATATCTTATCGCTAATAACGAAAATAAACCGGTCATTGAGACGAGTGCTTAAAAATCAAGGCTGTGCTAATTAAGGTTGGACTTATAATGGGCTAATCGTAAATACGCCCTACTGAGTGGATTAAGAGATTGATAGCTCAGTTTTAAGTTTAAGTAATTAAGAATAAGACAGACAAAAAGAAATAAATATTGGAAGTAAGCAGACAGGCATAGTGCGCACCACAACTAAATTAGGCTATTAGTACTTAAGAGAGGGGGCGGTTTAACAAGGCTGGTCAACAGCAACGAACCTATTCAACCTTAATATCTCAATTAGCGGTTAAATGCTCTGCAGTATTAAGCTTAGACTTAAGTATCTTTAAGTTTACAACTTAATGTGAATTTCACCACATAAACTTAGCTTAAGGTAAGTTGAAGGGCATTTGTTGGGGGATCTGATTATAGTGAACAGCTGCTTAGAGATGCGGGCTAAAAGCTCAAGCGCTATTTACAGACATAGTTTATCTTATTGAAGTAGCACTGAGGTCCGGTAGGTGGCTTGACCATTGGAAACTAAATTAGACGGCGGGCTATTTTATGAGGCTGTTAGTGGCTTATAGTATTTAGTAGGTAGCGGACAAATTAATGCGAGTTAGTCTGTGAAGAAGAGCGTATTAGCGGGCCGATTATTTTTAAATTTATTTAACTTGCTTAATAAATAATAATATAGTACCCCGCGCAGTAATAAAACATCAGTATAAACAAGGAAACAGGCAATAGTGACTTTCAAGCTAAGTACATTAGTTTATCGTATCGGTACCGAGGGAGTGTAGCTCGAACCCAAACAAATAAAAACCTAACTAGCATTGTCTTAATTATAAGAGAATAGTCCGCAGAGGATCTTAGGAATAAAACTACAAATATCACTCTTATGAAAATGATATTACCGTATTCTGCTATAAATAGCAGGCTGAACCCGCCAGCTGAATATTCAGTGTTAAAGCCTGAAACTAATTCTGATTCTCCTTCAGAAAAGTCATAGGGTGTGCGGTTAGTTTCTGCTAATCTAGAGATCAGCCAAATAGCTATTAAAGGGGAGAAAAGCAAGCAATTGAAAGCGTGTAATTGTTCTTTTAGCATTTCTTCTAAGTTAAAGGAGTTTGTTGCCCAAATAATTCTTAATAGCACAACTATCAGCCTTACCTCATAAGAGATCATTTGTGCTACTCCTCGTAAGGCGCCCAATGTCCTATATTTGCAGTTAGAGGCTCAGCCCCTGCCAATAATTGGATAAACCCCTAAGCTACTAATACAGATAAAAACCAATAGAGTGAATGCAAAGCTAAGCCCCCCTGCTTCTAACGGAACGAGGCTTCAAATAGCTAACATTAAAAATAGCCTTAGCACGGGCGATAAGAGATGAACGGCTCTTACTGTTCTTCGTAGGAAGGCGTGTTCTTTGCTAAATAATTTTACGGCATCGGCGAATGGTTGAAGCAGGCCTCAGAGACCGATTCTGTTTGGTCCCACTCGAATTTGAGAAGCCCCTAAAATTTTCCGTTCTATCAAAGTAATGAAAGCGACTCTCACTAGAACTAGAATTATAAGAGTCAGGTAAATAAGAATAATTTTAATAGTATCCAACACTGCTTGGTTCCCCTAATTTTAAGTTCTAACCTTAATGCGCTAATCCGCCTAAGCAATTAAACAGCCCTTGGTCCTTTCGTACTGAAGAGCGCTATTTTTTAGAGAAGATAGAAACCAATCTGGCTTAAACCGATTTGAACTCAAATCATGTAAAAATTTAAAAGTTGAACAAACTCTCATTTAAAGCTTTTGCACTATAATGATATTTTAATTCAACATCGAGGTCGCAATCGTTTACATACATGTGGACTTTCCGTAAACATTACGCTGTTACCCCTAGAGTAACTCAGTCTATCTGTCCTTATATAAAGGACCTTTAAGCCGATTGTTTTTAAAACTACTAGTTAATGTAATACTACCGCCCCAGTCAAATAATATATAGGCTTGGTTTTATAATAAAGTAGAGCCGAGCTATTATAAAGCTTCTAGGGTCTTATCGTCCCTCTCTTTCATTTAAGTGTTTTTACTTAAAGCCTAAATTTTTACTTATACGCTAGATACGCTGCAATTGTTGAGCCGTTCATTCCAGACTTAAATTAAAAGCCAAATGATTATGCTACCTTAGCACGGTCAAAATACCGCAGCCGTTAAGGTTCCACTGGGCAGGCCGTACCTTTAACCCCCTAAAAGAAAAGTTTTTGTTAAACATTCAATGGCAGCTCGAGTTCTTTAGCCTATGCAAACTTAAATAATAATTTTATAATTGTAATTGGCTGTAAATAATTTAAAGCTGCTCTGGGCCAGTCTATAAGGTTAATTTGAAGTAATTATTTATAAAAAATGACTAATTTACTTAATTTAAAAGTTAATTTTCTTTTGTTAAAGTATAATTTAGTGAAAAAGAGACTTACCCTCTTGATTTATCAGAACTAGTTTGCTCAACTCGAAGAGTTTCACTTCTATTTCACTCAGCCTCTTATTACACAGGGGCGGGCTAGCTCGTATGAGATTCGAGATTGAAAGTTTGTTTATTTATTAAATAAACCCTGAGACAAAAGGTATATTAAAGACTACACTAAATTTTTCTTTCCTTATAGTACTAGTATGTAAGTATAAAGCGCCAGTAAGGTGTTGTCTCAACGTAAGTGAGCTAAATCGCTTTATAGGCTCGCTTTCCAGTGAGCTTACTTTGTTTCGACTTATCCCATGGGGAGTGACGGGCGATCTGAACACCCCAGGCTGAATATTCATCTGCTTAACTATTAAAATTAAATCCGCCTGATAGGGTTTATATTCGTGTATTGATAGGTATTGTGGCTAATCGTACTTAGACATCTCTGCACCTTGATCTACTATTTACAGCTCTTTCTATCCAAGACAGCTTACATGAAGGTATACAAAATTTATTTAAGTGAGATTTAACGCGGTTTATCGTTTAGAGACAAGCCCCTCTAATAGCCTAGGGCCGCCAAATATTTTCATTTTATCTTTATTTATAAGGTGAATTAAACAAAAATACTAGGGTATCTAATCCTATTTTAATAGGCGCCTTCTACTAAATACGCAGAGCTTAACGCTTACTTTTCTACCACTCTGCTGGAGCTAAGGGCGAGTTTAGTAGGCCTTGCTGAACAGAAAGGGCATAGTCTAACCGCAGCTGCTGGCACTAATTTTACCCCCTAACAATAACTCTTATGTCATCTAATGTAATTGTACAGACTAGGGGATACTCAGTAGTTCTGTGCTTCTATGTAAGTTAATTTTTTTAGCTCGTAAAATTCATTAATTTTATGAAATACGAATAACCAATCACATTATATTTGTCTGTATTTAGGAAAGCGGATGCGCCTAAGATTAGTCGCGTAATAGCCGGGTTAGGCTAGCCTGGGCGAGAGTCACGCAATGAATAGATTAGCGGAGCCAGACATACCTGGCTTAAGACCTAGCTCGTAACTGGCGGGCCTTCAAACCTGTCCTATTAGTGGGTAGATAGGAGAGCTACTCGAAGTAATTAGCAGCGGGTCGTAGATAGGTTCAACAAGCACTGCGACACCAGTTAGCAAGAGCGGTTAGCCCTAAGGGCTAACGTGAAGTTCTGAACTGCCCGCTGGCTATGATGCGCGCTTAATCAGCAGGGCAAACCGACTTCACTTGGGGAGAGTCTGCCAAGCTATTTGCTAACCAGAGCGAACTTCTTTAAGCTTGCAACTTAATGTGTTTTACACCATCTGGTCGGTTAGAATAGTAGGTTGTTGGCGGCTCTACTGGGGAGTAGACGAGTGGTTAAGAAGGGCGGGCTGTCGTAACTGTTTACTCGGTAACAGAGCCTGAGCGTGAGGGCGGGCGCCGTTAGCTAAGCCGTCTATAGCTTTGTTTAAGCCCCGCTTATTTGGGTCGATAGCCGAGCTTCGGCTTCTTGAAGCCCGAGCGCTGTTGGCAGCCGGCTTTCTAAAACAGCTAGCTCGAATAACTTTATTTTTTATATG